ATGTACATTATCATGTTGAGTTTTACACCACTAAAACACCAGTTGTACATGTACATTATCATGTTGAGTTTTACACCAATAAAACACCAGTTGTACAGATTTCATTATTGTTGGGCACTACTGGCTGTCTTCAGATTAACATTAGTTTTATAAGTTTGTGGCCACTGGCCCAATTTTGGCTGTCAGTGATCCATTTTGCATACTTAAGGCTCTATATATATAGCTACATGTAAGCAGGGCTAGCACTGCATCATACAGTTTTGATCATCAAATGCTATCATCAGTCCAGATATATTATTTACATCACACCTTATTTTGTTGCTGCTATAATATCATCATTGTTTGACTAAATTTAATGGTTAACATTTTATGTCAGATACAGATTTTACACAAATGGTCCTGTTGTATTGAAAGATTATCACTTGTTGAACTGATAAATAGAAAGTGAAGTAATTCTTGACTCTGTCATTTAATACTAATAAACAAACATGTCACAGCAATACCAAATATCCACCAGCAGACTGAACATTATTTGAAGGTGTCTCAGGAAAATTTATGGAATAAAGTCATTTATCACATACCTATGTAATCTTACAATAGAAGTACAACAATTTTCGTTTGATATTTTCACATGTGTGATATACAAGATGTTGTATCACCATACTAGCTGGAACTACTTTCTATGGGAATCCCCTTGTCATGGCAAACTGAAAAGTTCCTGGTATTTGCAAAAAACATCAAAGTTTATAAAATCTTTGTATCGATCTCTCGCGGACATATATATTCACTCATGCGCTCTGGGCGCTCGTGAATATATATTCATCCGCGCAATAAACTTGAGCTTTCTGATTCGTTAGAAAAAACACAAGTGTGTGGTCTTGTATATGTAGTCTGTGCTGTGGAGTATCTGAATGTCTCAGACAGACTGTTACTATATCTCTGGTGATGTTCATGTGAAATGTCATGGTATTTGACATTGTGATTTGCCTGTAATAAGATCATCAATTGATAAATAAAGAACTATTTCAATGTATTTCAGGTGGGCACTTTGTATGTAAGCTGTTTGATCTTTTTACACCGTTCAGTATGGGTCTTGTGTACTTGATGTATCGCATATTTGACCGTGTGTCCATCTTCAAACCTGTTACCAGCAGACCAGCCAACTCAGAAAGGTATATATGTCTTGATCCTGTGCATAGTCTAGCATTGTAGATTCAAGTCATGTCCATCTGGCCCCAGTCGCTCAAAGATTGGTTAAATTTAACCTGTGTTAAGTGAAAATTATTGTCATTAACACACAGAGATTGAACCTTAACCTGTGTTAAGTGAAAATTATTGTCATTAACACACAGAGATTGAACCTTAACCAGTGGTTAGTGAAAATTGTTGTCATTAACAAACAATGGCTTAGCTTTCATTGCAAATATATAATCCTCAAAACACATCAATCTCATCTGATCCAGCAAATCTACAGCAGTGAAAATATATGAGATTTTTGTGATTTTGTTGTTTTCATATAAGAAAACACTTTGTTCTACGTACCCACTGGTTAACTGTTACCAAGCTTTGTGTAACCAGGGCCTGAAATATTATCAGTTTATGTTGGTCTATTTTGATATAAATACGTTTATGAATAATGTTGTTAGGATTGGTAAGTTGTTAAAACCATCCATTTTTGGCACAAAGTACTTATATATATATCTAAATGCAACATTTGTAAGGTACATTGTATGCCGGAACCTGAGAGGAGACAGGGAACCTGTTAGACAGTACATGCACGAGATCAACTTGGATCTGAACAAATTCATGTCAGCGACATCAGAAAAAGACATCAATGAGGTTGTACCAAACTCATTACTGGAGGGAGATGATGAGTTTTTCCAGTACATGTACGAATCCAATTTGTTGTAAGTATATCTATCAATTAAATTATGTACATCAGTCAATTTACTTTATTTCTATCAATTAACCGTAAGTTTATCCGTCAATTAACTTATGTATACCTGTCAAGTTACTGTAAGTGTATCTATCAATTTACTCTCTAAGTACTGTATATGTCTATCAATTTTCTGTATGTCTATGAACTTACTGTAAGTATTTTTAGTTAGGAAAATAATCCATTGAAATCTCATTGACAGACCTTATAAATACTATCAAATAAGTAAATCTGACAGAATGAGCTCCACTTGGTATTAAATGTTTGAGTAAATCTGACTGAATGAGGTCAACTTGGTATTAAATGTTTAAGTAAATCTGACTGAATGAGGTCCACTTGGTATTAAATGTTTAAGTAAAACTGACAGAATGAGGTCAACTTGGTATTAAATGTTTAAGTAAAACTGACAGAATGAGGTCAACTTGGTATTAAATGTTAACTCGAGTTCTAGTTGTCAACATTGTTTTCTACAGCTTGATTGATTTGAGGCTTTTTTGAAGTTTTAGAATTACAATGAATAGTTATGTATATCATTTTGTATTATAAAACGTGGATGATGAGTTGTACATGTAAATATTTTGCTGTCAGACTTGGGCGGCTACAGATCACCAGTCTCAAGAAGATACAGACATTTACACAGAACAGGTAAGACATACCTGTCCTATTTGTTACTTGTGTTATATGGATGTATTTAGTAATGTAGCAGTAAACCTGTCTTCACTGAATAATACATAATCTAGAAACCTGTGTAAACCAGGCCTCTAGAAACCTGTATAAACCAGGCCTCATTAAGGATCGTCTGAACCTGAAGGTTCTATATATACCCTTATGCTTTCATTAATCCAAAATCTAGTCTGCAGTTACTTTCAGATTCTTTCTCAGGAATGGGGGGAGGTACATGAATTATTACCTTCAGAATATACATCTCTAAAACAAATTGATTAAACCTCAATGGTTACTGGTCTTGTGAATAAATTAAAAAAAATGTACAGTTTGCATATTATCTATTCACACAAACAAATATAGGACTGCGCTCTTTTCGCCAAAGTTGGGGATGGACATATCGTGTACTCTACATACTCGTTGTATCGTTTGGTATCGACTTCCAGCCAGTGTTCAGTTTGTTAGATTTGGTGTTTATTATTTGTCAGTACTGTTATTTCAGTGACCTCTATGAAGGACGTCAGTCTGAGATTCGACGACAGTGTCTGGAGCGCTGGCAGGTTTGTTTCCATGATTCATTCTAGTGATTTGTTCCTAATTAACATACAAGCTAAGTCTAACTTCTGGAACCAGATCTGTTATCTAGATACTTATGTGTTATTATGAACTAAATAATTTGTTAATAATCTAAATCACATGTAGTGTGGCTTTTCTCTGACAAACAAACCACGTCAAGTTAATGTTTGGATAGAGAATGGAAGTCTGAAGTACAGTACTTTTCCACTATTTGTTTTAAACAACTTGTAATTTTTATTTATAAGATTTATTTCAATTATGCATATTCAAGGAATTATATTTTCAGATGATTTACTCTAATTTCCGGTATTTTGTTTTTTTCCACCTAAATCTCTCAGCTGTTAAAAGAGCCAACATATCGCTATTCACAATACCTTCAATACTTAATACACACAGATACCAGACCAAGTGCGATCAGCTCCTAGTAAAGAGGATCCCTTCAGGAAGTTTCAGGAAATCACGCAGGTATGATCTGTACAAAAATGTACAGGTAAACACACATGTAAGATTAGAGACACCTACACAAAGTTATAGGTAATCACACAAATACGATCTGTACAGAAATTTACAGGTATAATCACACATGTAAGAGTAAAGACACCTACATAAAGTTATAGGTAATCACACAAATACGATCTGTACAGAAATTTACAGGTATAATCACACATGTAAGATTAATTGTCTATAAACATATGTTCCTATAGGGAACGCAATAATATTAATGAACTTGTAAGTCGCTCTTTTCCAAGCTTTCGGGCTTAGCCCTTCGTCAGGAACGAAATGTCAAGATGGCTGTGACATAGAGGTCCAGTGACATTTAATCCCTGACGAAGGGCTAAGCCCGAAATGGAAAAGAGTGACTTACAAGTTCATTAACACATGTAAGAGTAAAGACACCTACACAAAGTTACAGGTGAGTACAGGTAAGTCCTCTACAAGAAGTTGCTGATAATCACATATCTGTAGGTATAGCGCTGTACAGAGAGTTCAATAGAATCAGATCTAGACAGGTCAATAATATATAAATAGTTCTCTACACAAAATTACAAGTAATCATACAGGAAAGAAAGAAATTAAATAATATGTAAAATGATATGAATATGTATGACATTCAGACTATCAATTTCTGCAATACACATGCTTGGAATATTAATTTATACCAAATTATTTTTTAAGGATGAAGATGAAGATTTCTTTGAGCATTCTGTCAGCCATTTAACACATGACAGTCTGGCCGCTATAAAGACTCCGTACGACTACAGGTGTTATGTGGTCGGAGGACTAGAGAAGAAGAGATGGTACATTCTGGGACTAGGGGTAAGTACATGTGTTCTAGTGGTTAAATTATATGTTATTGAGTGTGCATGTAAACATACTCTTTATTCAGTGATACATTATCATGGTACATGTATGTAAACATACTCTTTATTCAGTGATATATTATCATGGTACATGTATGTAAACATACTATTTATTCAGTGATACATTATCATGGTACATGTATGTAAACATACTCTTTATTCAGTGATACATTATCATGGTACATGTATGTTAACATACTCTTTATTCAGTGATATATTATCATGGTACATGCATGTAAACATGTTTGTATACTCTGTGATGGTAGTAATCTCTTGTTACAGCGATCTCATGTGTTTAAGTGGGATGGGAATCCTAAAACAAAGTGGAGAAAGATGGAAGAAAATATGAGAATTGAGCTCCCTTACAAGACTCTCATTGAGGTGGAGTTTGTACAGGAGTTTAAAGGGGAGGTAAGTCTGGTTCATACTGCCTGGGAATGAATGGCAAGTAGACTGTAGTCTTGTAAACACTGCATATATGAAGGTGGCGAAGTATGTATTTGTCCATTTATTGTATCTATAAGTAGCAAAATATTCTCTAATTAAACTACCAGGGTAAGCATTTCTTCTTCGGACATTTACATTTTTAATTATATTTTTACAGATGTTCCTCTTTGATTTTCAATAAGATTCATCAGTTTGGAAATATGCAAGTATCAAAAGTTTTACTTTCTACACAAACAATGTTCCTATCAAGCATGTCACAATGTTACAAGATCAGCCGGTCCCTTGGTCAATTTATGAGTTAGGTTTACCTGTACCTATAAGTGTGTTTACGCTCTCTTTCAACATTAGTGAAATGTCCTGTAGTGATCAGCTCTAGAAACCTTTTTCCTGTTTTGTGGCATTGCAGCATTATTGTCATACATTCCCCAGGTACCATATTGTATTTATTTCTATCATAAGTATGCCATAATTATCCCAGCTGATAAAGACAGTCAGAAAACAACGGCCATTGTCTAGCATACTAACAATAGAGTCACCACTACATATGTGACCTTTGACCTTGCCAGGGTATGGGACAGAAGAGACTGATGACACTACATGCCCTAGATGCCTTTTTTCTTTACGGAAAGGATGTGAGATACTTACACTTTAACGAGAGGTATGTATACTTACGGGTAATTACATATCAGTTTAGTAATACTATGAGTATTGTGTATAACTTTAATCAGACTATAAGTATAGAGGGTGTAGACTCTATGACAATTACGGTGTATCATGACTACAGTCAGACTATAAGTACATGTATGAAGGGTGTAGACTCCATGGCAACAGTGTATCACTTTAGTCAGACTATAAGTACATGTATGAAGGGTGTAGACTCCATGGCAACAGTGTATCACTTTAGTCAGACTATAAGTACATGTATTGAGGGTGTAGATTGACTCCATGGCAACAGTGTATCACTTTAGTCAGACTATAAGTACATGTATTGAGGGCGTAGACTGACTCCATGGCAACAGTGTATCACTTTATTCACACTATAAGTACATGTATGGAGAGTGTAGACTCCATGGCAACAGTGTATCACTTCAGTCAGACTACAAGTACATGCATGGAGGGTGTAGACTGACTCCATGGCAACAGTGCATCACTTCAGTCAGACTATAAGTACATGTATGGAGGGTGTAGACTGACTCCATGGCAACAGTGCATCACTTCAGTCAGACTATAAGTACATGTATTGAGGGTGTAGATTGACTCCATGGCAACAGTGTATCACTTTAGTCACACTATAAGTACATGTATGGTGGGCGTATAGACTCCATGACAACAGTGTATTACTTTAGTCACACTATAAGTACATGAATGGCGGGTGTCGACTCCATGGCAACAGTGTATCACTTTAGTCACACTATAAGTACATGTATGGTGGGCGTATAGACTCCATGACAACAGTGTATTACTTTAGTCACACTATAAGTACATGAATGGAGGGTGTAGACTCCATGGCAACAGTGTATCACTTTAGTCACACTATAAGTACATGTATGGTGGGCGTATAGACTCCATGACAACAGTGTATTACTTTAGTCACACTATAAGTACATGAATGGCGGGTGTCGACTCCATGGCAACAGTGTATCACTTTAGTCAGACTATAAGTACATGTATTGAGGGTGTAGACTGACTCCATGGCAACAGTGTATCACTTTATTCACACTATAAGTACATGTATGGAGAGTGTACACTCCATGGCAACAGTGTATCACTTCAGTCACACTATAAGTACATGTATGGAGGGTGTAGACTGACTCCATGGCAACAGTGCATCACTTCAGTCAGACTATAAGTACATGTATTGAGGGTGTAGACTGACTCCCTGGCAACAGTGTATCACTTTAGTCACACTATAAGTACATGTATGGAGAGTGTAGACTCCATGGCAACTGTGTATCACTTCAGTCAGACTACAAGTACATGCATGGCGGGAGCAGACTCCAAGGCAACAGTGTACCACTTCAGTCAGACTATTAGTACATGTATGGAGGGTGTATAGACTCCATGGCAACAGTGTATCACTTCAGTCAGACCATAAGTACATGTATGGAGGGTGTAGACTTGTATCACTTCAGTCAGACTATAAGTACATGTATTGAGGGTGTAGACTGACTCCATGGCAACAGTGTATCACTTTAGTCAGACTATAAGTACATGTATTGAGGGTGTAGATTGACTCCATGGCAACAGTGTATCACTTCAGTCAGACTACAAGTACATGCATGGAGGGTGTAGACTCCAAGGCAACAGTGTACCACTTCAGTCAGACTATTAGTACATGTATGGAGGGTGTATAGACTCCATGACAACAGTGTATTACTTTAGTCACACTATAAGTACATGAATGGAGGGTGTAGACTCCATGGCAACAGTGTATCACTTTAGTCACACTATAAGTACATGTATGGAGGGTGTAGACTCCATGGCAACAGTGCATCACTTCAGTCAGACTATAAGTTTAGAGGGTGTAGACACAATGTATCACTTTAGTCAGACTATAAGTACATGTATGGAGGGTGTAGACTCCATGGCAACAGTGTATCACTTCAGTCAGACTATAAGTACATGTATGGAGGGTGTAGACTCCATGGCAACAGTGTATCACTTCAGTCAGACTATAAGTACATGTATGGAGGGTGTAGACTCCATGGCAACAGTGTATCACTTCAGTCAGACTATAAGTACATGTATGGAGGGTGTAGACTCCATGGCAACAGTGTATCACTTCAGTCAGACTATAAGTACATGTATGGAGGGTGTAGACTCCATGGCAACAGTGTATCACTTCAGTCAGACTATAAGTACATGTATGGAGGGTGTAGACTCCATGGCAACAGTGTATCACTTCAGTCAGACTATAAGTACATGTATGGAGGGTGTAGACTCCATGGCAACAGTGTATCACTTCAGTCAGACTATAAGTACATGTATGGAGGGTGTAGACTCCATGGCAACAGTGTATCACTTCAGTCAGACTATAAGTACATGTATGGAGGGTGTAGACTCCATGGCAACAGTGTATCACTTCAGTCAGACTATAAGTACATGTATGGAGGGTGTAGACTCCATGGCAACAGTGTATCACTTCAGTCAGACTATAAGTACATGTATGGAGGGTGTAGACTCCATGGCAACAGTGTATCACTTCAGTCAGACTATAAGTACATGTATGGAGGGTGTAGACTCCATGGCAACAGTGTATCACTTCAGTCAGACTATAAGTACATGTATGGAGGGTGTAGACTCCATGGCAACAGTGTATCACTTCAGTCAGACTATAAGTACATGTATGGAGGGTGTAGACTCCATGGCAACAGTGTATCACTTCAGTCAGACTATAAGTACATGTATGGAGGGTGTAGACTCCATGGCAACAGTGTATCACTTCAGTCAGACTATAAGTACATGTATGGAGGGTGTAGACTCCATGGCAACAGTGTATCACTTCAGTCAGACTATAAGTACATGTATGGAGGGTGTAGACTCCATGGCAACAGTGTATCACTTCAGTCAGACTATAAGTACATGTATGGAGGGTGTAGACTCCATGGCAACAGTGTATCACTTCAGTCAGACTATAAGTACATGTATGGAGGGTGTAGACTCCATGGCAACAGTGTATCACTTCAGTCAGACTATAAGTACATGTATGGAGGGTGTAGACTCCATGGCAACAGTGTATCACTTTAGTCACACTATAAGTACATGTATGGAGAGTGTAGACTCCATGGCAACAGTGTATCACTTCAGTCAGACCATAAGTACATGTATGGAGGGTGTAGACTTGTATCACTTCAGTCAGACTATAAGTACATGTATGGAGGGTGTAGACTCCATGGCAACAGTGTATCACTTTAGTCACACTATAAGTACATGTATGGAGAGTGTAGACTCCATGGCAACAGTGTATCACTTCAGTCAGACCATAAGTACATGTATGGAGGGTGTAGACTTGTATCACTTCAGTCAGACTATAAGTACATGTATGGAGGGTGTAGACTCCATGGCAACAGTGTATCACTTTAGTCACACTATAAGTACATGTATGGAGAGTGTAGACTCCATGGCAACAGTGTATCACTTCAGTCAGACCATAAGTACATGTATGGAGGGTGTAGACTTGTATCACTTCAGTCAGACTATAAGTACATGTATGGAGGGTGTAGACTCCATGGCAACAGTGTATCACTTCAGTCAGACCATAAGTACATGTATGGAGGGTGTAGACTTGTATCACTTCAGTCAGACTATAAGTACATGTATGGAGGGTGTAGACTCCATGGCAACAGTGTATCACTTTAGTCACACTATAAGTACATGTATGGAGAGTGTAGACTCCATGGCAACAGTGTATCACTTCAGTCAGACCATAAGTACATGTATGGAGGGTGTAGACTTGTATCACTTCAGTCAGACTATAAGTACATGCATGGAGGGTGTAGACTCCATGGCAACAGTGTATCACTTTAGTCACACTATAAGTACATGTATGGAGAGTGTAGACTCCATGGCAACAGTGTATCACTTCAGTCAGACCATAAGTACATGTATGGAGGGTGTAGACTTGTATCACTTCAGTCAGACTATAAGTACATGTATGGAGGGTGTAGACTCCATGGCAACAGTGTATCACTTCAGTCAGACTATAAGTACATGTATGGAGAGTGTAGACTCGTATCACTTCAGCCAATGTTAGTAAACTTTATGTACAGTTAGATATGTGTACACTTTAGATGTTGTGCTGTTAGAAGTATGACATTAACATAAAATTGACTGTGTAATTATTTGTACTCAGAATGGAAAAGCTTAAGAAATTTGTGAAGGCAGTCAACAAACCAACACGATCAGATCTGGTCCAGATCGTGGTGCCCAACATCTTCAGGCTGGAACACATTGAACAGATATTTGAAAGGTGAGATTTAGTATAGAATAAATTAGTCTTGTTAGATAACCGTATGTGACATACTATAAAAGATATTTATAAACTAATGTCAGTTGAGACTGAAAAGTCATGAAGAAGGTTCATGTGATTTATAACTCCAATTTGTTTGTAGATTAGCCATGAAGAAGGTGAAGGGTTCAAGTCAGCTCAGACTGTGTTACTCTCCCCCAGACAGAAAAGATGGCCGAAGCTTTCTACCTACAGGTGTCTGCTTTGTCAAGACCTGTAAAGGTGGGGTTTTATTTAACATTTGTATTCGTTTTGACCTTATATTGTTGAAATGAGAATGCAGCCTTTTTATGCTATCCTTTCTCACTATCATATAGTACATGTTGTACAGCTACTTTTTCCTCTGATAGATCCATGGACTATTGCACTGAGCAGATCTAAGGGCAGGAAATATTTCTACAATCTCCATAGCAAGGAATCAAAGTTCGAAATTCCACGAGAAAGCATAGCGTCTGTGAGGTAAGTGGTTTAATATTCAGATATACCAGACAAGTTGTGGACAAATTTGTGAAGTATATATCCAGTGTTAATTACTACTGGTGGTGTTTGTAATACGTTATATGTAGGGTAAACCATTGGTTTTCCTGTGTAGGCTGTCAGTGATCAGAATGTTACATCTAGCATTTATAAATTATCTGAATGCTTACTAGCATGGACAGTAATGCATGATATCTGTTGGTCTTTAAGTTCTCCAATCACTTATATTTATGTACATGTCGGTATGCAATGCTTGTGTAAATAAAAGAGAGAATATCTGATTCTCCTAAGGTACTAAAGTGGGGCAGACATCTTTAGAGGTATTCACCAGCAATCTTTTCTCCATTTAATACCAAATCAATGGAATTTTATAGACAGCCCACCATTGGTGGATACCTAGTAGTATTCACTAGAGAGTGCTAGTATTCACTATATATCCTTAATTGATGAGTGAATAAACATGCAAGTATTCATTAGAGATCAAGTATTCGTTAGAGATATATATTTTCCAAAGAAAATGGATGTCAGTACTGAAGAATGACTTAAATGTGTAGCGTACATGTGAATCTAGTGAGTGATTGACTTGTGATCCACAGAGATACCAAGCTGAATACGTGGTGGTGGGTGTGGGAGGAGGGAGTGAAGATCCACGATAGCCAGACCTTCAATCCACACACAGACAAGGTATCCAAGGACGAAATTCTCAGTGTCATTCAGGGACTGTTGGACAAACTCACCGGTCAGCGGTGACACATTCAGTGGACAGTGCTGACTTAAAACTGGACGAAATCCGGAAAAAATACTCTCTACGTGACAAGCTGCACTCCGCCAATTAAAGCCTCCCATTATAACTGGAGGAACTATTGGTCTGGATGAATGGGGGTTAATGATTTTTAATGACATGCTGTGGCTGTTAAAATGTATTTACAGCAATTTAGTTTTGTTATGAGACTAAGCACAACAGAACTTTTTTGGAGTATTTGTCGATTTTATCCCGATTTTACATGTACCGGTGTTTGTAAAGTCACGAAAAGCAGGCCCAGTTGTTGTTGGACCACTGACGTGGTTAGGATGTTAACGTTGCCCATCAGATGTAAGAATGAACTTATTGTTGGAAGTTAGTGCAGCAGTTGTGTAACTACTGACGTTGTTAAAAGATTTGACTTGTAGTACATGTAAAATGATTACGGTTGTGATTCGTATATAACCCAGTCATTATTTATCTATAAGTACATGGTTATGAGATGGTGCAGTAGTTGCGTGACTACAGATGTGGTTATCATTAAGTTGTCCCAGTAGTTGTGTGACTATGGACGTGGTTATAATTAAGTTGTCCCAGTAGTTGTGTGACTACGGACGTGGTTATAATTAAGTTGTCCCAGTAGTTGTGTGACTACGGACGTGGTAATGATTAAGTTGTCCCAGTAGTTGCGTGACTACAGACTTGGTTATAATTAAGTTGTCCCAGTAGTTGTGTGACTACGGACGTGGTTATAATTACTTTGTCCCAGTAGTTGTGTGACTACGGATGTGGTTATAATTAAGTTGTCCCCGTAGTTGTGTGACTATGGACGTGCTTATAATTACTTTGTCCCAGTAGTTGTGTGACTATGGATGTGGTTATCATTAAGTTGTCCCAGTAGTTGCGTGACTACGGACGTGGTTATAATTAAGTTGTACCAGTAGTTGTGTGACTACGGGCGTGCTTATAATTAAGTTGTCCCAGTAGTTGTGTGACTACGGACGTGCTTATAATTACTTTGTCCCAGTAGCTGTGTGACTACGGACATGGTTATAATTAAGTTGTCCCAGTAGTTGTGTGACTACGGGCGTGCTTATAATTAAGTTGTCCCAGTACCTGTTTGACTAGGGACTGGGTTATAATTACTTTGTACCTGTAGTTGTGTGACTACGGACGTGGTTATGATTAAGTTGTCCCAGTAGTTGTGTGACTACGGACGTGCTTATAATTAAGTTGTCCTAGTAGTTGTGTGACTACAGACGTGGTTATAATTAAGTTGTCCCAGTAGTTGTGTGACTACGGACGTGGTAATAATTACTTTGTCCCAGTAGTTTTGTGACTACGGACGTGGTTATTATAAAGTTGTCCCAGTAGTTGTGTGACTACGGACGTGGTTATAATTACTTTATACCTGTAGTTGTGTGACTACGGACGTGGTTATGATTAAGTTGTCCCAGTAGTTGTGTGAGTACGGACGTGGTTATAATTAAGTTGTCCCAGTAGTTGTGTGACTACGGATGTGGTAATAATTACTTTGTCCCAGTAGTTGTATGACTACGGACGTGGTTATTATAAAGTTGTCCCAGTAGTTGTGTGACTATGGACGTGGTTATAATTAATTTGTCCCAGTACCTGTTTGACTAGGGACTGGGTTATAAATACTTTGTCCCAATGGTTGTGCGACAATGGACGTGGTTATAATTTAGTTGTCCCACTATTTGTGTGACTGCTACTCACTAATGACTGTGTCCCAGTAGCTGTGTGACTACGGACATGGTTGTAATTAAGTTGTCCCAGTAGTTGTGTGACTACGGACGTGGTAATGATTAAGTTGTCCCAGTAGTTGCGTGACTACGGACGTGGGTATAATTAAGTTGTCCCAGTAGTTGTGTGACTACGGACGTGGTTTCATTAAGTTGTCCCAGTAGTTGTGTGACTACGGATGTGGTAATAATTACTTTGTCCCAGTAGTTGTATGACTACGGACGTGGTTATTATAAAGTTGTCCGAGTAGTTGTGTGACTACGGACGTGGTTATAATCACTTTGTACCTGTAGTTGTGTGACTACGGACGTGGTAATGATTACTTTGTCCCAGTAGTTGTATGACTACGGACGTGGTTATTATAAAGTTGTCCGAGTAGTTGTGTGACTACGGACGTGGTTATAATCACTTTGTACCTGTAGTTGTGTGACTACGGACGTGGTTATGATTAAGTTGTCCCAGTAGTTGCGTGACTACGGACGTGGGTATAATTAAGTTGTCCCAGTAGTTGTGTGACTACGGATGTGGTAATAATTACTTTGTCCCAGTAGTTGTATGACTACGGACGTGGTTATTATAAAGTTGTCCGAGTAGTTGTGTGACTACGGACGTGGTTATAATCACTTTGTACCTGTAGTTGTGTGACTACGGACGTGGTTATAATTAATTTATACCTGTATTTGTGTGACTACGGACGTGGTTATAATTACTTTGTCCCAGTAGTTGTATGACTACGGACGTGGTTATTATAAAGTTGTCCGAGTAGTTGTGTGACTACGGACGTGGTTATAATCACTTTGTACCTGTAGTTGTGTGACTACGGACGTGGTAATGATTAAGTTGTCCCAGTAGTTGCGTGACTACGGACGTGGTTATAATTAAGTTGTCCCAGTAGTTGTGTGACTACGGACGTGGTAATGATTAAGTTGTCCCAGTAGTTGTGTGACTACGGATGTGGTAATAATTACTTTGTCCCAGTAGTTGTATGACTACGGACGTGGTTATTATAAAGTTGTCCCAGTAGTTGTGTGACTATGGACGTGGTTATAATTAATTTGTCCCAGTACCTGTTTGACTAGGGACTGGGTTATAAATACTTTGTCCCAATGGTTGTGCGACAATGGACGTGGTTATAATTTAGTTGTCCCACTATTTGTGTGACTACGCACGTGGTAATAGTTACTTTGTCCCAGTAGTTGTGTGACTACGGACGTGGTTATAATTTAGTTGTCCCACTATTTGTGTGACTACTACGCACGTGGTAATAGTTACTTTGTCCCAGTAGTTGTGTGACTACGGACGTGGTTATTATTAGATTTAATAGTCACTGTCTAACTGCGGACGCTATTTGTAGATAACACAGTGACTGAAGACCAATTAAGACGTCGTAAGAACATGTACAGAGGATGATAACAAAATGACTGAATACCAAGACGTCGTAAGAACAGAGGATGATGAGGATTGATTCTTTCATGTGTATGCGAGAAATACCATAACCAATGAAATATGATATCCTTAATAGAAAGTAGCTTATTATTTTTTTTAATAAACGTTATTTATCCCTTCGGTTGTTTTCCTTTCTTTTCACTCACTGACATGAAGTTCGTTTGAGGTTGTAGTATGGTGTAGTGTCTGTTATGTTATCCAGTTTCTTTCCATTACATATACCATTCATGATACTCGTGTACCAAAGTGTTTTACTATTGGCCAGACGCTCGCTTAAATGAAAATTATCAGTCATATTATATGACAACTGATTGTTAAATGACCATTATGGAAGCCAGATATGTTTCTTTTGTTTTAATGTGTAGAACTATGTATATTATGTAAATTAGTCATGGTGCGTAATTAGTATATATGTACGTTATTGTATGTAAAAAAAAACTTGGGGGAATACGGAAGTTCAACAAAAGTCGTAATACGGACTGAAAATCTATAAAACTAGAACAAGATATCAACAATTGAAAGATTGACACGGTGACCCGTCCTTAAAAAGTGCAGGGAGAAAAAGACCAGATGTTCCTGGAAGATGCACATCTTTTGCTTCATCTATCACGGAAATCATGATATTCGGAGCGAGCTCTTAAAGACGAAATCAACTGCGACAAGTCAACCCCGTAGGTTGAGGAAGCAGGGATGTTATTATCAAGGAAAGTTAAGTTCACGATCGAAAAATCGAAATTGGCCGCTTACCGTACAGTTTGATAGAAGGCCGTCCCAGTTGATCGTGTCGTAAGCTAAGTTCGAGGAAATCAGCTTGTGCAGAAGAGTCTGTAGTGTCCTTTGGTTTCAAGCTCACGAGGCTGTTGTCATTAAATGTCTTGTTATTTAAAGACAGCACATTGTCAGTGCATCTTAATTTTATGTATAATGGCTAAGTTAGGTTTCCGTTACCAGTCCTGATACATGGAAATTCATCAAAAATTAGCCTCATACTGTACAAAATGGGATTTATTCGATCTATCCATATGCTGAAAGTGATACACATTGTCCCACATAGGTCAAAAGTGTTGAACACTTTAAATAACTTGTCTAGAATTGTCTGTAATCATATACGCCATAAACATGTAGATTGGAGAGGCGAAGGTCTGTCATATTCGTCAGTTATATCACCTTGATATATATCCGAGGTCACAAGCGTCAAGTGTGTCTAAATCGTCAACAACTTCTCATGAGTGATGACTGTTAGGAGTAAGCTTAGTCATTGCAACTTTGTTGCATCATTTTTCATTAACATCGACATGTGAATATAATCGGCACTGAGGTAAAGAAATGGATCTATCAACAAGACATTGGTTCTGATTTTGTTAGTTGGTGGTAGCTTGTTGACAGGAGGCGCTATTATTTGATTCAAATAGAGGAATATATGGTCAATTCAAGATCACTAGACAAATGCTTTAGAATTCTTCATCATGAAGTCTAGAGTAATGGCATTTGGTCTGCAGAAGACCCACGTCCTTTTAAATCTTTGAATAAACGCCTGTTAAGCTGCTATAAGTTACATTGACCCCACACTCAAAGGTGATGGGAGCAGAGCATACTTTGAACATAAAATAATAGTCTGGTGAGATTTAGATGACGAAATTTAACGAAAACAAACTCGCTTTTAAAATCTTGAAATTAGACACAAATATTCGGTCTGAATAAGTATTTTAAATCTTAATCATAACAAAAACAAATAAGTACTGTTCAAGTTTTATCACAAACCACTACAACAGACAATATACATGAAGGTCTAATAACGACAGTATGATACAATATGGGCACTGGATCCGAACAAATAAATGTCCATTGGATCCTTAAATATATACAAATTGCATGTAAGCAAAGAAGTAATAATGACAGTGCAAACAAAGGAATGGGTCAAATTGTCAGGGCGATCCGTCCCTACTCCAGACAGAAACATGAACACTTACATATCACAACAACGGGACAACATATAACAAAGACAAACAGTAGGAAACAATACTACAACATATAACAAAGACAAACAGTAGGAAACAATACTACAACATATAAAACATTAAAAAAAATCCAGCTATCACTTATGAAATGTGCTTCTGTTATCGCATATCTCCTCGGCTAGCTTGTAACCGAGTGCTAATTGTAAAAAAAGACGTGAGGTCATTAATATGTAAAATCTGAATAAATGATTACACACACATATATAATTATACCATAACTACAATCATGATATCCTTAATCTTTATCATGAACCGCAACAACAAAATGATCCTGTAGTTTAATCATAAACCACCACACCCACGAAGTGCTCTTTTAGTTTTATACTAAACGCCCACAACCTGGTGTTCCTTGTTTTATCATAAACAACCACAACAAAATGCTCAAATTTTTTCATCAAACTCAACTATCAGGTTCTTCTTAAGTTTTACCATAAACCACCAAAATATAGTGCTCCTTAAACGGAGACAACCTGGGAAAATGGCTGGAAATACAAAATGATGGCATTCTTCACGTCAGAGAAAGATTTTCTTTATTTTTTTTTTGTGAGGAATATAAATATGCTTATTACATGTATGCCTCGACCATCTTTAAAACAGACCAAGAGATTTTTTCGTGAAAAAATCCTTCCATTAAGGGTCATCTCTGGTTACGTACACCAATTGCAACAATACATCAACAAAACGTACAAAACATCAACCAAACGAACAAGACCATAGCCACTACATGTCGATTTGCTGTGATTGCAGAACTTTGACATGATTACAGTTCCTCGATACTTATTAGTATACAGTTTATACAGTTGTACAATAATGGGACAATGATACATTATAGAATACATCATTGTCCAATTAGTATAGTAGTACAATGCGTTACGCAGCTGCCTCCTTTAGAGTGACCCTGGTGCCAGATGAAGGTGTTGGTGTTTCGTCATGATCATAATGGAATTCAAAAGGTGTGTGTGACGCTGGCGTTGGTTTTCTTGATCTGCATGGTTGTGGCGTTTTCCTCAGTGGTCGGGAGGATGCTGTAGACGAGTTTGTTGTTGTTGACGTCACTGACTCCCTTGACGAAATAGGATGAACTTGCGTGATATGGTTACCTACTAAGTGACTGGATCCCATACGTTGACAGACAATGCATAAACTATAAGCCAACAGACTGGTGACCAGACCAACTGCCGCCCCGCCAGCCCCAAACTCAAGCTTGTAGTTCCGGTCACGATTTTCTTTTTTGGAGTTAATAAAGCAGTCACACTCAGTATACTGCAGGCCTGTGCATTTCTGTGTATATAACAAACACAACATACTATATGAGACGTTACATGGTTTTGGTATTGTTATATGTACATAAACATATGTTTGCATTTAGTTAAGCATTAAAAACATTGCTGGATTTCGACATGGTCCGTCTTAGTGCAAAGATTTATATTTGCTAGGCCAGTACGTGTATAGCGACTTAACGTTTGCATCTGACCACATCTGACCACATTTGACCACATCTGACCACATTTGACCCCATCTGACCACATCTGACCACATTTGACCACATCTGACTACATTTGACCACATCTGACCACATTTGACCACATCTGACCACATCTGACCTCGAAAAAACAGTTATCGGATTGAGTACATACAATGTACGAGTAATTGCGTGCATTGCCATAAACTATTGGAAATGTTTGGCAAATTTTGTATTACTAATTTTTGACACTAGTTGCGGTCCTCTATGGTTTTTACCCGCCAAGAAACAGGTCTGGCATCTCGTACTCAAAGGAAATTTAACATTTGATATCCCTTCCCTAAAGTACTGTGATCGGGGACTAGATTTCCATTGTTTGGCCACATTGAGGTATGATCCGTTTAGATAAATGATCCAATATTACATTTGCCCTATAGTCTTGGATAACATTTGTATACCACTGATCTAGTTAACATTATCACTTATCAAAATAACAAGAGCTTCTTTATAATATACTTTATATATGTCACATTAGCCTGGTACAGTCCTATATTGCAAAATGATCCGCTACTGCCTCACCCATGTTGTCGAGATCATTTAAAAGGTTACGATTCATTTAAAGGCTTTTTAGCTCACCTGCCCGAAGAGCAAGTGAGCTTGTGCCATGGTGAGGCGTCCGTCGTCCGTCTGTCCGGCGTCAACGTTTTACTTTAAACAACTTTTTTTCAGTAACCAAAAAGCCTAGCATGACGATATTTGGCCAGTAGCATGCTGGGATCAAGGGCTACCAAGTTTGTTCAAATAAATGACCTTGACCCACTTTCAAGGTCACAGGAGTCAAATATGTTAAAATCTACAAACAACTTCTCAATAACCAAAAGGCCCAGGGTACTAATATTAGGCCTTTAGCATGATGGGATGAAGCGCTACCAAGTTGTTTAAATGAATGACATTGAACAATTTTCTGGGTCACATGGGTCAAATGTCTTAAATTCTTCAAACAACTTCTTCTCAATAACCAAAAGGCCCAGGGTACTGATATTGGGCCTGTAGCATGCTGAGATGATCAGCTAACAAGTTGGTTCAAATGAATGACCTTGACCCACTTTCAAGGTCACTGGGGTCAGATGTCTTAAAATCTTCAAACAACTTCTCAATAACCAAAAGGCCCAGGGTACTAATATTAGGCCTTTAGCATACTGGGATGAAGGGCTACCAAGTTTGTTCAAATGAATGACTTTGACCCCTTTTCAAGGTCACTGGGGTCAGATGTCTTTAAAATCTTCAAACAACTTCTTCTCAATAACCAAAAGGCCCAGTGTACTGATATTGGGCCTGTAGCATGATGGGATGAAGGGCTACCGAGTTTGTTAAAATGAATGACATTGACCAATTGTCAAGGTCACAGGGGTCAAATGTCTTAAAATCTTCAAACGACTTCTTCTCAATAGCCAAAAGGCCCAGGGTACTGATATTGGGCCTGTAGTATACTGGGATGAAGGGCTACCAAGTTGTTAAAATGAATGACATTGAACAATTTTCAGGGTCACAGGGGTCAAATGTCTTAAAATCTTTAAACAACTTCTTCTCAATAACCAAAAGGCCCAGGATACTGATATTGGGCCTGTAGCATGCTGAGATGAAGGGCTACCAAGTTTGTTCAAATGAATGACTTTGAACCACTTTCAAGGTCACTGGGGTCAGATGTCTTAACATCTTCAAACGATTTCTTTTCAATAACCATAAGGCACAGGGTACTGAAATTGGGCCGGTATCATGCTTGGATGAAGGGCTACCAAGTTTGTTCAAATGAATGACCTTGACCAACTTTCAAGGTCACTGGGGTCAAATGTCAAAAAATCTTTAGACGACTTCTCAATAACCAAAAGGCCCAGGGTACTGATATTGGGCTTGTAGCATGCTGTGATGAAGGACTATCAAGTTTGATCAAATGAATGACCTTGACCAACTTTCAAGGTCACAGGGGTAAAATGTTGTAAAATCTTCAAGCGACTTCTTCACAATAACCAAAAGGGCCATGGTACTGAAATTGGACCTGTAGCTTTCTGGGATGATGGAATACCAAGTTAGTTCAAATGAATGACCTTGATCCACTTTCAACCTAATGTCCTTGTTCGACAATCAAGGTCACTGTCGTCATATGTTTAAATCTGTTAATAGATTCTTATGAAATCTTAAGATTACAAGTGTGAGATTAATACCAGGTGAGCGATGCAGGCCCATTGGGCCTCTTGTTCTTAGTATCTACAGGAATCTTATTCATTAGAACACACATTTCGTTCATTACATCAGAAAATAAATGTATTTTAATGTGATATATTGATATATCGAATGCAAGATATTGAATTAAATGTTAATTATTTGTTACAAACGAATAAGGAGTGATACACATTTAAGTCTGTTATCCATTACCTTGCCCATTGGTACTGGACGGGACTCGCAAATCTTTCCCTGCCACGGTGTCGGGCAGTGACAAACAAAACCATGAAGGACATTCTCACAGGACCCTCCGTGTAGACAAGGAGCAGAATCACAACTTGGAAGGCCTGCCGACATAAACCGTGGACATGCTAATCTATTTATAACAAAAGTCGTTTGTAAAACTGTCATTACTCCATCTTCAGTCCTGTTTTGCTATTACTGATATCCAGATTGTTACACCTACCCGCTCGTTATATCACAAAGTGCATTAAAAAGTATCTGGAACATCTCTCAGTTCCACCCTTCTGACTAGGACTATGCTAGAATATAAACGAAACAAGCATAGTAATATTCCCCGCATCGGCTTAAGTGTTCAGATCCAAATATTTAGGTTTGACAATGATGAGGAAAGAAAGTTTTCATGGAGACCAGTAAAAAATCGAAGGATAATAAGACCAGGTGTTCCGGAGGGGTAAACATCTTCTGCTTCATCGACTGGTACCCAACATACGTCCTCATACACTTGTACCTAGGACTCGGGGTTGTGACGACAATGCCACAAGGCACGATCTAAGGTGTAAGTGTCGCACAGCTTAGAAGTAAGTAAAGGTCGAGGAGGGGGCTGTACTAGAAGAGTGTATTAGTAAAGGTCGAGGAGGGGGCTGTACTAGAAGAGTCTGCAGTGTCCTACATTTCAAGCTTAGGAGGGTACATTTACCCATATGGCCAATACCTTTCTTGTCAATTAAAGACAGCACATCTTCGATATATCTGAATGCAAAATTGAAGGACTTGGCTTGTTATCAATCCTGATAAGCACATGAATAATTTCTGCCTTATATGAAAACGAAAAGCAAATCAACGAGAAAAATCCCTATAGGAATGTCTACAATTTGCTGGAAAATCTTGACACCGATCTCAACATATTGTTAATCAGAAACTGAATCATTCTCACGATTTCATCATTACCATTTTTACATTTTTGGGTTTTGTTGTGCTTTTCACAAAATATGCCCCAAACACAATTTACAATCATATATTTATGTCGCTGTTCTCTGTTCTCGGAAAGAAAGCGCTATCGGTTGGATGGGTCAGAGACTCGAAGGTTTGACAACAGTTACATGTTTGTGATAAGAATGCTCCAGATTGATCACAAGACCGTTTAATTCTTCAAATCTACATTTAATTTATTCAACTTTTGGAATATAAAGTCCAGCATTTTTTTGGCCTGGATTTGAGACATCATAACTGGTATAACATGCACAGGAAACGCATTCCTTGCCCTGTGGATCAGCTGGTTTCGCCTCCAATTATTTATGCGACGCAAGGTGTGGTTTGTCGACTTTGTTTTCGTGTGTTGACACTATAGGCTATAAACAATTAAAATTGCATATTATATTTCTGATAAGATTCTGGTTACCTGTCTGGCAATACTCCCCGGTCCAACCGCCCGGACAGAGGCACTTGAATCCGTTGACAAGATCAACACAGGTTCCGTTCATCAGGCAGGGAGAACTGACACACTCGTCCACTTCTGGAACCACAACCTCGGTATTAGAAGCGAGATCAGGCATACTGTTAGTAGTATGACGTCATGCGTGAACATTCTATCAGTAGTTTACAGTTGGAGATTTTTTTAATCACGGAACCAAAATGAAAATATTTGATATATAATGTTTAAAAAAAATCAAATGATAAAACTGACCTGTTTGACAGTTTACACCGACGAAGCCGTCGACACATGCGCAGTAGTACTGATTCAACAAATCGACACAAGAAGCGTTGTTCATACACGGATTACTGAGGCATTCATTAATCTCTGAAAAGTATGAAATGTTAATACTTCATTGCAAGGAATATTATAAAATGTTAGTACTTCATTGCAAGGAATATTATAAAATGTTAGTACTTCATTGCAAGGAATATTATAAAATGTTAGTACTTCATTGCAAGGAATATTATAAAATGTTAGTACTTCATTGCAAGGAATATTATAAAATGTTAGTACTTCATTGCAAGGAATATTATAAAATGTTAGTACTTCATTGCAAGGAATATTATAAAATGTTAGTACTTCATTGCAAGGAATATTATAAAATGTTAGTACTTCATTGCAAGGAATATTATAAAATGTTAGTACTTCATTGCAAGGAATATTATAAAATGTTAGTACTTCATTGCAAGGAATATTATAAAATGTTAGTACTTCATTGCAAGGAATATTATAAAATGTTAGTACTTCATTGCAAGGAATATTATAAAATGTTAGTACTTCATTGCAAGGAATATTATAAAATGTTAGTACTTCATTGCAAGGAATATTATAAAATGTTAGTACTTCATTGCAAGGAATATTATAAAATGTTAGTACTTCATTGCAAGGAATATTATAAAATGTTAGTACTTCATTGCAAGGAATATTATAAAATGTTAGTACTTCATTGCAAGGAATATTATAAAATGTTAGTACTTCATTGCAAGGAATATTATAAAATGTTAGTACTTCATTGCAAGGAATATTATAAAATGTTAGTACTTCATTGCAAGGAATATTATAAAATGTTAGTACTTTATTGCAAGGAATAGTATAAAATGTTAGTACTTTAATGCAAGGAATAGATAAATAATTACATGTAGTCTTCAGTTCATTCGAACCAGAGATAACGTTAACTACTCTGTCTTACATGTACAGCCAAGTGTCAGTTAATTATTGATAAAAACCTTTATCGTAATATTAAGCATTTTGTGGCTGCCTCATTATTACCAGTCTGACAGAGGCGTCCCGTGTAACCCCCTGTACACATACAGGTGAAGTGGTTGACATGGTCGACACAGGATCCAGCGTGAAGACAAGGTTGACTCAAACACTCGTCAATATCTGAAAGCAAAACCTATAATATTCTACCATCTGACTGTAACAGATTAGTTAAGGAGCACACAAAAACAAAAAGAGATGAATTGTATATAATTCATGATTGTTGTTTTATTACTGTTTTGTATTTTGATTTAGAAACCTTTTCCCTAACAAATCCTTCAAAATTCTTACCACGAGACGAGTAAATGAATTTAAGTTGTACTATACTTCGGATATAGATACTTATCTCACTTTTCACTCCTGTATACCTGGGTGTATTTAATATACTCACAGTTTACTCCTGTATACCTGGGTGTATTGACTTATCTCACAGTTCACTCCTGTATACCTGGGTGTATTGACTTATCTTACAGTTCACTCCTGTATACCTGGGTGTATTGACTTATATCACAGTTTACTCCTGTATACCGGGGTGTATTGACTCATCTCACAGTTCACTCCTGTATATCGGGGTGTATTGACTTATATCACAGTTTACTCCTGTATACCGGGGTGTATTGACTCATCTCTCAGTTTACTCCTGTATACCTGGGTGTATTGACTTATCTCACAGTTTACTCATGTATACCTGGGTGTATTGACTTATCTCACAGTTTACTCATGTATACCTGGGTGTATTGACTTATATCACAGTTTACTCCTGTGTACCTGGTGTATTGACTTACATCACAGTTTACTCCTGTATATCGGGGTGTATTGACTTATCTCACCGTTCACTCCTGTATACCGGGGTGCATTGACTTATATCACAGTTTACTCATGTATACCGGGGCGTATTGACTTATATCACAGTTTACCCATGTATACCTGGGTGTATTGACTTATCTCACCGTTCCCTACTGTATACCGGGTGTATTGACTTATCTTACAGTTCACTCCTGTATACCTGGGTGTATTGACTTTTATCACAGTTTACTCCTGTGTACCTGGTGTATTGACTTACATCACAGTTTACTCCTGTATATCGGGGTGTATTGACTTATCTCACAGTTCACTACTGTATACCGGGTGTATTGTTTTATCTCACAGTTCACTCCTGTATACCGGGGTGTATTGACTTATATCACAGTTCACTCCTGTATACCTGGGTGTATTGACTCATCTCACAGTTCACTCCTGTATACCGGGGTGTATTGACTTATCTCACAATTTACTCATGTATACCTGGGTGTATTGACTTATATCACACTTAACTCCTGTATACCTTGGTGTATTGACTTATCTCACAGTTCACTCCTGTTTACCTGGGTGTATTGACTTATCTCACAGTTCACTCCTTTTTACCTGGGTGTATTGTTTTATCTCACAGTTTGCTCCTGTATACCTGGGTGTATTGACTTATCTCACAGTTTACTGCTGTATACATGGGTGTATTGACTTATCTCACAGTTCACTCCTGTTTACATGGGTGTATTGACTTATCTCACAGTTCACTCCTGTTTACCTGGGTGTATTGACTTATCTCACAGTTTACTCATGTATACCGGGGTGTATTGACTTATCTCACAGTTTACTCATTTAAACCTGGGTGTATTGACTTATCTCACAGTTTACTCATGTATACCTGGGTATATTGACTTATCTCACCGTTCACTACTGTATACCGGGTGTATTGACTTATCTCACAGTTTACTCATGTATACCTGGGTGTATTGTTTTATCTCACAGTTTACTCATGTATAACTGTGTGTATTGACTTATCTCACAGTTTACTCATGTATACCTGGGTGTATTGATTGTGTATTGCCTTATATCACAGTTCACTCCTGTTTACCGGGGTGTATTTACTTAACTCTCTGATGCGGATCAATGTATTCCATATTTCACAATTCGCCAGTGTATGCCTGGATGTAACTACTGTACATGTTCATAACTGACATTGCATTCCTATATATCTTGATGAACACACCTAAATATTACTTACCTGTCTCACAGTTTACACCTGTGTACCCCGCGTCACAGCGACACTCGTACCTGGCGATAAGGTCCAGACAATAGCCAGCGTTCTGACAGGGGCTACTTTGACACTCGTCTATATCTGGTGGAAGACAAATATTTCACATTTTTTGTACTAGTTTAATCACACAAATAGTGATTGTGTGTCATATTGTAACATACGATATACCTCTATCATACATGTATATAATAAGGGTTAAACTTCCACGATTTCCTGAAATCGCCGGTTGTGATAGTACAATGTAGGTTGCCTGGTCCTGATTCTTACTGTACATTATTACGTGGAGAGCAAATTGTTTCTGGTCCTTAATTAGATCTTTTTATAAGCAGTGAATTCATAAAGCCTCTAAATGTAATGCTGAAATACTAACATCGAAATGAGGTAAGTCGATCTAAGTATTTCAGTCACATGTTTTATTTGCTAAATGGCTTGATATGAAAGAAAAAGCGATACAGGGACAGCTAGTACCTGTAATAGGTTTACATCCCGTCGTCTGCCTGTGTAATATTCAACTGTTTGATAGTTTCTCTTACTGTCTTATATAGATATATCAGTATATCAGTATATATATCAGTAGATCAGTATATATATCAGTATAGCAGTATATATGTCAATTCACACTTCTATTTGCATCACTTGGAAATCAACTGTTTGATAGTTTCTCTTACTGTCTTATATAGATATATAAGTATATCAGTATATATATCAGTGTATCAGTATATATATCAGTATATCAGTATATATATCAGTATATCAGTATATTTATCAGTATAGCAGTATATATGTCAATTCACACTTCTATTTGCATCACTTGGAAATCGTGAGACGTGTGTATTGTATAAACGTTCAAGTACTATAAGGAATATTGTTAAATTATAATTGTTCATGTATAAACACGACATCAATCAAGAACATCCGTCTAATAAGTAGCTAGGTTTACGCTTACAGAAATGACGGGATGTTTTGCCACATAGACTTTACTTAATGACGAGATGCAATGTATTCTGTATGATTACCTGTGCCACACACACTTCCGGTAAATCCTGGTACACATGCACATATAAAGTCCTCCGTAAATCCCACTCTTGAACACGTGCCATTATTTTCACAGGGGAACAAATCACATGGATCCCTATCTGTCAAAAAAGTACAGACATAAATTTACCTACATCATTACTCAACTAGCATGTCAAGTGGCAGCTGTCAGAAATACCCCTACACACCCCATGTGATTGTTTATTGTTTTTTTTTACTATCGAGCTGTGTCGTTCAGTATGTATACAATGTAACGATTCATGTTTTTAATATTACTTAATATTTGCATTAAAAAAGTTGTTGGTAATAGTTTACCTAGTAAGGTATAAAACCTACCTTCCACTGACATGTGTACTTAACGCGGTAAGAGAGTTGACATCAGCATCAAACACACGGAAGTAGTTCAACTTATAGAACCCTCTTTGTTTTATTTATAACACGTGCTCAGATCAAATATTGAGTATGCTGAGCAAAGGCAGTACCAAATTGTTTTATTGATAAACATGACTTGATCAAAGTTCAAGTGTGCTGTATAATACCGATTAAATTTGTGGACAAATATATGAGTTGGCAAACACACGGGATCACCCTACGGTGCTTGCATTTATATATATATACTAGATAACAAAGAGGGGCCATGTATCGTCTATGATGCATTAAAAACGAGCTTACATGTTACAAGTGTTATTTGGTTACACCACAAAATAAAGCACCCGTATGCTTCGAGTATCACGATTCTATGATAGATGTCGTCTGCTGGAGGACACACCTACACCATAAGGACTTTATGCATGTTTAATGTTTTCCATCATGATCTCATCAGGGAATATTTTATATGTTTTGCGATATGAAGAAAACGTCTGTTTTAGTATGCTAAGTCACTCCTACGGTCCTCACCTTGAGGACGTGACATCACTTAAATTTGACATAGATTTACATGGCGAGAGTAATGGATACTATACAGGACGCTTATCCTTCCGAACACCTGGTATTCTACCTATAATATTTTGTTTGTTTATATTTTGCCCTGGTTTCATCGATTTCTGAGTGAGAATTAGAGTTTTGTTAATTATCTGTCGATTCTCCAATAGTTAAGAATCGGGGACAAATGCCACATATTTGATTTCTTTTTACTGCTTTCGGAAAACTTGAGAGTTTAGGATAGAAAACAGCTCTGTACACAAACAGCTTTCGCAGCGATTGTAAAGGCCACCACCAACGTGTTTTATAGGAAAACAGACGTTGCGTTATAGTTTGGAGTGTCCCAATACAACCACATACATTGTACCCTTCAATGCTACATACAGTTAGTCCAAAGACAGGCTATGGTGACCGTATCGTTAGAATGGAAAATTCGAAAGAAGTTTGCGATGTAAATACACTTAAATACCGAATCTGATCAAAATTATCAAACAATACTTATTTTGTCCAATCAAAAACAGGCTACTGCCGTCATATGGTTCAATCGAAAAACGGAAGTCGCGTTAGAGGTTAAAGTAACATATTTCATCTACATATCAAGTTCGATCATAATCGACTCTATCGAAATTTAGACCAATCAGAAACCGCATTTCGGCTGACTGGAACATGTCAATTGTGTTGCTCACACCTAGAGCGCAACCCGATATGTTACATGTACAGCTCAACAGAAAAACTGATACATGTAAAACCATTTCTTTAGGGTTCGTAATACAAATATCGTTGACAAAATGAGCAATGCTCCGGGAGAGCCCGTTTTACATAGGATATCAGTTTATCTAGATGATTCGATAACATCAGTACTTACCCCATGCCAGAAGTGTCACACACCTAGGGTCGCTCGTCTTTCTGTGAAACAATTATTCTATTTTTACAAAATGATTAAAAGATTGACATAAACAGACCTTTAATGAAGTACTCATAATTAAAGGGTTTGGTTTGTTGGATAAATCAGATTACTCACACTGTGAGCCATGTGAACATCCCATATGTACTGAAGTGTAAGTATCTAACCAAGAGATTGCAGTGTCTGCAATAGCTTTCATTGTATAAACTAGCCCTTTCAGAGATGTAACGTCAGACATCATGACGGGTGTGGCATGTGGTACAGACGGCAATGACGAGGAACAAGCTTCCGTATCTGTTTTGGGGTTTGTTTTGGCATTTTCCCCTTTCCTTTGTTGTCTGCTCAGTTCGTGCTGTTGTATTTTCATGTCGACCTAGAACATTTGGTTTTGTCCTTATGTGTCGTTGCGTTGCTATGGTAAATATGTTTTATAACGTTTAAGATATCACTTGTAAAAATATATTTTACTAACATCAGTGCTGACACTAGGTTATTTCTGTGATCAAACAGTTACGACATTTACCCTCGAATGTCGTCCGCCATAGCACAAAGGATATGGCTACCCTTTTGGGCGAAAGTAGGCGTCCACGTGACGGTGACGTACCAAACCCCAGGATTGCCGGGATCGCTGGTGAGACGGGACTGGGTCAGTCCAGACGGTGCTGTTAACTGAATGTCAGTTATTCTGTGAATTGAGAAATCGATAACTGAATTTTGTTTCAGGAAACAAAAAGGCGCAACGGGTTAGTCTTTATCTACCACTTTGACTTAAGTTAGATAACACACACACACACACACATATATATATATATATATATATATATTTCAAAACTCTGGCGTTTTAATCTCTATACGATCTAACCAGCCATGACCTTATACTTTATACTTTTATACTTTACTATTCCTATTTCAATTATACTCCACAAATAAGTAACTTTACCTACTTTTCTATAAATGGTATTCTTCTACGGACATAGGAGTTTTAAGTTGAGCATGTTTGTTTGTTGTTGTTTGTTGTAAGATTTGTTCAATCTGTCTTGTTTTACAGTTTCCATCTTATACATTGAATTACACATAGACTAGCTATCTATTTTCATATTAAACTACAATAACTTAACAGTTTTGGCGACTGTGACCTGTGCATATATTTGCACATGGACTTTTGGTCAATGTCTGCCAATATCTGTGTGATTTAATAGCTATATAGCTTATATACAATTGTAAAATGTTATAAAAATAAATAATACCTGTGGAAGTGTTTTGTGTGTGATGTGAGAAGTGTGAATGTATTTGTATTTCAGTTATGTTAATTAAGAAGGAGTTACATCCCTTTAATAAAAATTTTTATAATTTTCATTTCAAAATTGATGTATTAATTAAATCAAATAAAAATAATAGAATCCGTTAATTTAGCCACCGCTGGAGAGAATTTATATAGGCTTTGCCTGTTATTCCATCCAATTGACTTGTATCAACTTTGTCAATAAAATTTGTTGAAATGAAATTTCAAAACTCTGTGACAGACAGGACATAATTTATTTAAAACCGAACAAATCCACTATCTATAAAATGAATGTACTGATTCAGACAAGGCATAGCATCAAGAAATATGTGTTGCCTGAGTAGAACATACCTAGATGTTGATGAGGCATACAGTTTGATACTTAAACGTTGTCTTTCCTTGATTGAAATAACGTCTCCCTCCTGAGGTGTCGGAACCACAAACACAGGCCTGTCAGTACAACTTCCGGCTAGTGGAGGAGCGGTGATTAGGAACTGGAAGTAGCCAAGTAACTATGTACATAAACTAGGATAACTATGACGTAGAAATTATACAGCGACATAGTGTCGTTAAAAGCATAACACGTATTATAAATCACACTTCAAACTTAATAACAGAACAAATAAATACGGGTTGAAGGAACACACATCGCTACATTGCATACAACCCGATCAATGAAGCCAAAACTCGGAACATTTGTCCCGCGACCATTTACAACCAAGAACGCGACCGACGGTGATGGTCGCGAATTTAGCTTGGGTTTCTAATCTGTGAAGTACAACCGTGATTGGTACTACAGTGATAACTTGTGTATCATTGTGTGTCACCTGTAAAGGGACAACAGTGATTGGTACTAAAGCGAGTACCTGAGACTCGGTGTATCTTACCTGTAGAGGAACAACATATATTGGTACTAAAGGCCAGTAAAGGGAGTACACGAGTATCAATGTGTGTCACCTGTAAAGGGACAACAGTGATTGGTACTAAAGGGAGGACCTGAGTATCAATGTGTCTCGCCTGTAAAGGGACAACAGAGATTGGTACTAAAGGGAGTACCTGAGCATCAATGTGTCTCGCCTGTAAAAGGACAACAGTGATTGGTACTAAAGGGAGTACCTGAGCATCAATGTGTCTCGCCTGTAAAAGGACAACAGTGATTGGTACTAAAGGGAGTACCTGAGTATCAATGTGTCTCGCCTGTAAAGGGACAACAGTGATTGGGACTAAAGGAAAAACCCAAGTATCAATGTGTCTCGCCTGTAAAGGGACAACAGTGATTGGTACTAAAGGGAGTACCTGAGCATCAATGTGTCTCGCCTGTAAAGGGACAACAGTGATTGGTACTAAAGGGAGTACCTGAGCATCAATGTGTCTCGCCTGTAAAAGGACAACAGTGATTGGTACTAAAGGGAGTACCTGAGACTCGGTGTATCTTACCTGTAGAGGGACAACATGTATTGGTACTAAAGGCCAGTAAAGGGAGTACATGAGTCTCGATGAATCTTACCTGTACATTTAGAAGGACACGGCCGGTGATTGGTACTGAAGGGAGTGCCTGAGTCTCGATATAGGAACAACAGAGATCGGTACCAATGGGAGTACTCGAATCTCAAGGTACATGTATCTTACCTTTAGAGGAACAACACATTTTGGTACTTAAGGGAGTACCTGAGTCTCAATGGATCTTACCTGTAGAGGGACAACAGAGAGTGGCCGAGTAGGGCCGTATACAGCACCACCGACCGTTATGCTGGTCGAAGGAAAGTCTTCCACGGTTATTGCCACAGCATACCAGCCCCCTTGTTTGTAGGTTTTGGATGTGTCTGTTGTGAAGTGAATCGTACACGTATCCTAAAAGACAAATGAAATGTGTAATGCTAGTAGCATAAATAAAAGTCCAAGCCAAGTATCATTTGATCTTAAAAAGGGTACTCTATTTTTGCACATATCAGACATTAAAATGAGTTCTGCAGTGTATGACTTGCCTTATCTATACAGTTCGACTGATTGGTTCTTTATATTCTTTCGCAAACCTTGTCGCGAGGTTAAAACCACATGGACATAGACGACTTCGATATATTAAGACTTACCCTGTCGAGAGTGGCGTCTGGGAGTGCCTTACATACACTGGCACACTCTGTTCCCCGCGACCACCGACATCTGACGTCATCCCCGTCAGCGTCTATCATCGGAATCTTCAAGTTGTGTGAGCAGTCACTCTGCAATCTGCAACAGCATTACACGGGTTGACACATGTCACAACTGCCTCTGGTCACCTTACTCAAGGATTTGACCTGTACCGCTTACTCATGTATAAATCTTAACAAACTAGCATTCCGTTTTATTGCTGCAGTCGGGCTGTCTTTGAGCATCGCTGTCTTAATAGTTTGTGCTTTTAAAACTTCGCAAAAACTGACCACTGACAAACTTAATCAAAACCACACTGAAATGTCAGTAACATGTTTACGGAAACTTTCTACAAAGAAAACTTCTTGTATCACGTAATAAGTAAAAGGTACCTGTATAGAGGTTTGCTGGCAGTGATTGGACTCTGGTTTGGCCGCTGAGTGTCGCTCCGTTTCCTCAAGTCGACCGTCGTAGAGATGTTCCAGCTAGAAGGACTGCCGTAATCTAGTGCCATCCAAGCACCACCAGTAAATCTTAGGATTGGCAAACCAAACTTGTTATAAACAATGCTAGATATAAAACTGCATAAATGGAAAGCAAGCAACATTTCTATTATAACTATACATAAAAGTCTAAGAAAGCATATATACTTTCGACAAGACATATAATCCATACTCGGAGTAGGTTTTACAGATCTATTGATCGCAAGGTTTGTTGGTTCGGATCCCGCAGATGGCGGGCTGTGATTATGTATTTGGGCGAGACTATTGTGTATGGTCCATGCCCCGGGAAGCTACATATGTAAATAATTACATGTACGACACTGTGATGGTTTAGGGGGTTCATATGCATATACTTACGACACTGTGTATGGTCCAGGCCCCGGGAAGGTATATGCGAATGATCGCTCGCCCTGCTCCCAGTCCTCTGTACTACTAGCACCTGTACAAACGTAATTCAGATTCGAGATATGTTTTGGCGTACAACCGTCACACATCCAGTATGATGACGTCATCCCGGTAACCAACTGTCCAATTTTAGCTTTAGTACAGCCAGGTCCGTTGCCATATGTCCAACCCATTCTGAACTTTAACTCAACCTTGTATAGAAAAAAGCATATGAAAGACTGATTAAGACTTGTGGTTGTCAACGTTAACATTTAATCTAAAGATACTTTTGCGGTTCGCAGTAAAAGCAGCAGGAGCTGTGATCTGATTGGCGGGGTTCGGAAGTTCAATTGTTTTCGAGGGAAGTGCTGCTGCACGTGCAGACGTTGAAGAAAAAAACAAGAACGCGAAAACGTGTCATTCTAGTTTGCTACACCTGACTAGACGGATGGGTTCTTTAAAATACGAATTAAGTGTTAAATAGGTATCATATTATGATGAAAGTAACATGTATTAGACAAGAGTATTGGACAAATATTTTGGATCATTAAGGGGAGATTGATGTCATTAATATTGATTTCATGAAAGCATTTGACAAGGTTCCACACCGCAGACTAATTGGAAAACCTAGGAATTACGGCATAAATGACCAAGTCACTAATTAGGTAGAAAACTTTCTTAAGAAAAAGTAACGAAGGGTAATTGTAAACGGAACTTCATCCATAGATCTTCCCGAATTAGGCGGAAACCCTAAAGGAAGTGTCCTAGGTCCAGTACTATTTGTAATCTACATACATGATCTATCAAAATGTACCTTGTCGAATTCATTCTTGGTTGCAGATGACAGAAAAATATAGAGAGAAGTTAGGATTGATGAGGACAAAAAAGTGATAAAATAAGACCTGGCTAATTTTCAGGACTGGTCCATAACAAGGCTTTTGATCTTTCAATAAAAGTAAAGGATGGGAGAAGCTACCAAATTGCTAATGCAGGAGAAGATTAAGTTAGACTGGAAAATATCATCTGAAAAAGACTTTGGAGTATTGACTGATAAGGATCTGAATTTTTCGTCACATACTCAACCGGTATCAAACAAAGCAAACAGCATGTATATTTGGATGAAGTAACTTCTAAACAGCTGTTCAAGGCGCTGGTTCGTTCGCACCTGAAATCCGCAGCAACTATATGGAACCCACACACGCAGGTAAAGGCATTGAAACAATTGAGAAGGTACAGCGAAGAGTAACGAAACTGAAGGCTGAAGGATCTTTTCTACAGCGACCTTAAAAAATTAGGAATTCCAAGACTGACATACTGAAGAATGAGGGGAGATATTATTTTAAAATGTCTATATCATTTTGAACAAAAGGGCATACACAAAAAATAAAGAAAAAAACATTGTAAATTAGATATCAGGAAACATTCATTTTGCTACAGAACTATTGATATTTGGAACATTCATCCCGATGCGGTCATACAGGCTACACCAATTAAAGACTCTAAAATTTTTTTTTTTTTTACAATTTGGTGTGATGTAAAAAAAAGGTTAAGCTACTGATGTTAGGTCGTGATGATAAATACTTCCGAAACTTGTCCATTGTTTATATAGAGGTTTATAGCGATACTAAGACGTCCATGGTGTTTACAGATATTTTGGACTCGTGTTAATTTATCTCTGGTTTTTAGTCAAGAACTCTCGCAATAATAATAGATTCACATATCTTGAAAAAAATTGTGCGAGGTGAGAAAGTCAGGACTTGTGGTACATTGTAGGTAGGATGGAATAAGGTAATTAGACGAGAAAACAGTGATGGTATAGAACAGACGAAGAGATCTTATGTTGGTACAATCTTCAATTGATTTTATAACCACTACCTCATATAAACCTACCTAAATCAAACCATCACAGATGACGTCCTCTCGGTCGAGATTAACACAGGGTGTTTCATTGTGGAAATTTTTGAGAGCGCGATTTTTTTTGTGTATGTCCAAATGTCATTATTGGTGATACATATACAATTAATGATCATTAGCTTTTAACGAAATTATTATGGTATTTTTTCCATCGAGTCTTCATACTATCAATTTTTGTATGTCAATCATTGTTTTCCACTAAATATTACATAAAGCGATAACGATTGAAAAAAAAATATGGAAATAATGAACAATAAATAGTATTTGAACGATAATAAATAAGGTAATTGGACGAGAAAACAGTGATGGTATAGAACAGAGGAAGATGTTTCACCAAACTTTTTTTTACAAGACAAGACATATATGATATTGTTCCTAAGTACATGATTGTTCATACATAATAAACAAAGATCATCATCATCATCTAACATCATCATCATCAGACATCATCATCATCATATAAGATATTATTATTAACACATAAGCAGATATTAAGCAAAAAATTGCCAATGCCATGTACATACATAAAGACATACACTGAGACACTGATGCAAAAATAATATATATAAACCTATGACATCAAACACACAAGAGCAAAACCAAATAAACTGAAACAGAAAAAAAACGAAAAAAAAACACAAAACATTACAGGGGATGGGGAGCAATCCTAGGTCATTATATNGAAAAAAACCCACAAAACATTACAGGGGATGGGGAGCAATCCTAGGTCATTATATTTTAACTTAAGTCTGGCGAAGTAAAATGTATGAAATATTTGATGATTATTATTACAGTGAGGAGTCGATAAAGTACAATAGATATATATATGCATAGAACAAATATGTCATATATATATATATATATAGATAGTCATATTATAAATGCATCCAGTTATCTATTTGATGGTTTAACTCATCCTTATTTATTAATTTATTCTGTTTATACACAAGGATCTTTTGTGCTTTGAATTCAAATTACATATGGTTTTTGAGACTAGTCAGATTAAGTCAGATTAAGGTTTATTTCTAGGCATTTAGTTTTATATATGTATTGTTTTATAAGTAGTATTATGATGTTTTCTATATAAAACTTTGTATGTGTATGTTTACCAAAAAGGAATTCTTGTTTTTCAAATCTTAGTTTAAGGTTTTTAGTAATAATATTTGTTTTCAGCTAGTCAATTAGCCTATCAATTTTTTCGCAATCCCATAGCATATGAACTAATGTTTCAGGGTGAATTTTACAGAAAGTGCAAAGGTTATTGTGTGATTTGCCAGTTTTGAATACAAATGTGTTTGTAGTGAGAATTCTGTGGTTTATTCTGTACTGTAGCCACTGTAGGTTGGAGTTGGTGGTGGTTTTAAAAGGACATTCATATATTGTTTTCCATGTTTCTTCATCTATATTATCATTTAATATCCATTTTCTTTGAGCAGTAGGTTTAACATTATTTTTAATTAATATCAAATATATGTCTTGTGCTCCTTTACTATTTTTAAGCATTGACTTAAGATTGATAGGTATATTTGGAAAGATAACTGTTTTTTCTGAAGTAAAAATGTGATGATTTTTTCTTATAAAATGATGCACAGCATTCTTTAGGCCTTGGTATGTCAAAAAATTAGTATTTATGTTATATTTTTCTTGAAATTCTTCAAAGTGGTAGAGTGATCCATCCTGTTTAATAATGTTATATACAAATTGTACTCCCTTTTTAAACCATGAATTTTTGAATGTAAATTTTCTGTCAATTTTAATTTCACTATTGAACCACAGAGGGTTTTCACGTATATTTGTATTGTATATATTGCTAGAGATAATAGTATTGTACCATGCTTCTAAGACATCTTTCCAAAAGAGGTTACTACAACGTTTAGATTCTTCTTTCAATTTTTCAAGCCCACAGTTAGCTAATGTTTCATTATCAAAATAAGTTTCTAAAATAAGAGCCCAATTTCCTTCTTCTTTATATACCCTTCTTATCCATGTTGCTTTAAGAGCTGTTATAAAAGATTTTAAATGTATCATTTTCAGACCACCTTCTTAATAACTTAATTATCACATCTCCCGTTATTTGATCTGGTTTACCATTCCACAAAAATTCATACAGTATACTATTAATTTTTCTTATATATGTTTCATCAGGATTTGGTAGTGCTATAAATAAATGGTTAAACTGTGATATAAGTAGTGTTTTAATAACTGATATTTTACCTATTGGTGTAAGTACTCGTCTATTCCATGATGATATAAGAGATTTTAGTTTAATAAGTGTTTTTTTTATATTTTTTTTTATCAAAATTCAGTTTTGTAATTCTGTGTAAGCCTACATCATAGTCTATCCCTAGCAAATTGAACGTTGTGCTTCTCCATTGTAAATTACAATCTGTTGTGTAAGTGTTTCCACTATATTTTTTGCTGCCAATCCTTATTACCTGGGTCTTGAAGAAAAAAAAATCATTATCCCGTACAAATATCCCCTTAATGTTAGTGTTATTTCTTAAAAGTATCGATACAATTTCTGCACATAAAATAAAAATATAAGAAGTTACAGGATCTCCTTGACGACAGCCACGTTCTGGGCTGAAAACATGTGATAAGTTTCCCCTATTTACTGCTGAGTGAATATTTTGTTGAAAAAGTTTTATCCAATTATTTATAGTTGGGCCAAATTTGAAATAGTTTAGGGTTTTTGCCATAAAGTTCCAAGAAACAGAATCGAAGGCTTTTTCAAAATCAATGAGAAGTATAAGTCCAGGAATATCATAGTCTTCTGTGTATTGCATAACATCATATATTAAACGAGTATTTTCCCCTATGTATCTACCAGGAATAAAGCCAGTTTTGTTATTACTTATCAATTTGGTTATTATTGTTTTAATCGTTCAGCTATTGCACCAGATGCCATTTATAAATATTCTTTATAAGGGTAATTGGTCTCCAGTTTTTTAATTTGTTACGAGGTTTATCTCCTTTTGGGAGTAAGGTTTTGAGTAATAATTCCTTGTTTCTGTGTTTCTGATAGTTCAGATATAGTATAACCATAATTTATTGATCTAAGAATAAAATGCCCTAACTGTTTCCAAAATACTTTAAAAAATTCAACAGTGAAACCATCTGAACCAGGACTTTTATTATTTTTCATTTTTTTAAGGGTTTTTGCTAATTCATTAATAGTAATTGGACCTTCTAAACTTACTGATTCAAGGGGGGATAACTTTGGCACAATATATGTTCTTAAAAGTTCATTGAGATCAAAGTAACTTATTTTTCTTATATAAGTTTTCATAGTAGTTTTTAGTTTCCTTTAAGATTTCTGTTTGATCTAAAATTACAGTCCCATCCTCCATAGTTATATTAGGAATTATCTTACTAGTAACGTTACGTGATTCTAGCCCACAGAAGCATTTTGTTGGTTTTTCACCTTCACTTATCCACTTGGCCCTTCGTTTCACCATACATTAATACATGTGTTAGTGTGTTTGTTTCACCATACATTAATACATGTGTGAGTGTGTTTGTTTTACCATACATTAATACAATTGTTAGTGTGTTTGTTTCACCAAACATTAATACAGTTGTTAGTGTGTTTGTTTCACCATACACTAATACAATTGTTAGTGTGTTTGTTTCACCATACATTAATACACGTGTGAGTGTGTTTGTTTCACCATATATTAATACAGTTGTTAGTGTGTTTGTTTCACCATATATTAATACAATTGTTAGTGTGTTTGTCTCACCATACATTAATACACGTGTGAGTGTGTTTGTTTCACCATATATTAATACAGTTGTTAGTGTGTTTGTTTCACCATACATTAATACAATTGTTAGTGTGTTTGTTTCACCATACAGTTGTTAGTGTGTTTATTTCACCATACATTTATACAATTGTTAGTGTGTTTGTTTAACTAAACATTAATACAATTATCAGTGTGTTTGTTTCACCATACATTAATACAAATGTTAGTATGTTCGTTTCACCATACATTAATACAGTTGTTAGTGTGTTTGTTACAGCAATACTTTTGTGATACTCAGATAAACTTGTTAGATTCTTGTGGGGAATAGGGCCATGCTGTGTATATTTATTTTGGTTTTGAAACAAAATCCTTCAAGTTTGGGTTTCAGCTACACTGTATTCGTAAAGAAAGCAGCACCTTGTTCTCATATTTTTCCAAAGTAACACATATTTTCCGAAGTAATTTATACACTGTATTACCCTCAGGATGCGTATTACACTTATTGATGTATTTTCTCTAAAGTAAAACATACTTTCCGAAGAACCATACATTATCTGTTGTCAGTGTAAGATTACTTCCTTAAGCTGGTCCCTTATTACACTGTAACATATTTTGCTGTAGAAGCAAATGCAGCATAGTTCGCCGTGTGACATTTAATTGCATATGGACCGGGTATATTGTCACAAAGAATGACCTTAGAGTCATGATAAATTTCTAATGGATCTTTTGACATCATTGATATTGACCGTTCAGAAAATCGGATGTTCTCTTAGCTAGTAAGTAGGCAAAATAAAACGGGTCAGAAAAAAACGATTCTGATACGGTATTAATCAACTTAAGGTACATTGTAGCTGACCGCTGTTGGCCGAAATTGTTGCACATGTAAATAATCATGTATCCAGTAAAACCCTGAACTGTTATGATGGATTTGTGTTTATATTAAACAATTATTTATCCAATTCTGTTCCATAAATTTTGAGTCCGCTTGTTAAATTTACAATAGAAAAAATCGATCGTTTAATTCACTTCTCTACTTACCTCATATCCTTTTCCTGTCGGGTGCCAGCTTATAGTTCCTCCACGAAAATGGTTAGCATCAACGTAATACGTCAGTGACATACACACCAGGTAGAGCAAGCAGCGCACAGCCATCCAACACACCATTTCACATGAATAACAGTAGCGAAGGTATATAGGATATAGATGTCAGTCGAAGGTATGGCTGAATGTTACAAAAGTGAGAGAATATCGAAGTATTATATACCAGTGTAAAAATACATTAATACAGCTTTGTAATATTTATAAACATATATATACATTTACCCGATTTCAATATCCAATCAGAACAGACGTCCTGGTTGCTCAGTTTGTAGTTAGTCAACACAGGTTGCTGTGTACAATCTGTCCAAAGGTATATGGTATAAATTATGATATTTTTGGTCCGCTTCCTTCAAAGTTTGATCAGAAACTCCTAGTTTAATAGAACACTGGGCGAGGAGTGTCGCCGACAGTTTTGTCATCGAAAACACTCTATACAGAGTAACATTATATTTTCTGTCCTTGTCGGTGTCCATTAAAAAGGTTATATATTGGATCTTATAGAATCGATTCTTTATTGAAAGGTTAAGAACCCTATTGATTGTCATCAAAACATTGAAAATGCTTTGTTCAAATGTCTGATAATAGGTATTTTTATCAGAAATCTCATTCGGTTGTACATGTACGTATACAAATTTACAAAAACGATCTTTACGATTTGTTTGATGTTCTAGACACGTCAGATTTTTTTTTCAAAATGCGGAAATAAAAACTGTAATACCTACAAGTATATTTAATACAGAAGGGACTTACAGCAGTTCTGATTGATTGTGTTTTGTGGTTTTTTAAATATGTTGTGAAGCAAGAGGGCAAATACGACACGGAATGAACGCCGATCATTCGGAAATGAACCATGGAGAAAATAACTGTTTAATTGTAATGTACAAAATGTTACATATTTATAGTTATCTATTCAAAAATAGAATATTGACTTGCAAAATTACCCTGTTCTTTCCATTAAATAAAGTACTAATTGTCTATAAACAATAAAACCCTGTACCCCCCCCCCCGAACCCCTCTTGTACAAAGAATAAGGCTGGGTTCCTCTTGAACGTAGGAGAAAACAACATAACATGATGCTGATGTACAAGATTATGAATAATGAAACTCCATATTATCTGAAAGAAATCACTGAGTCACATTTTCATGATCCCACACTAGCTAGATATCCCCTTAGATCAGTTAGAATATTTGATCCTCCTCTTTGTCGAACTGTTAACTATTCTAATAGCTTTTTTCCATCCATGTTTAATGAAATAAATAATATTGCTTCAGACCTTCAAAATATTCGTTCCGCCTGTCAGTTCAAAAAGTTGATAACACCTATTCCAAATTCAAACACAAGAACAACTGATGTTTTTAAGTTTTTAGGAAATAGGGAAACTAATATTATTCTCTGTCAGTTGAGAAATGAGGCCAGTAACCTAAATAATGACCGTCAGAAAGATTATCTTACTGAGTCCTCTGCATGTTCTTGTGGTTCTAGATTTGAAACAGCATCTCATTACTTCCATGATTGTATCAAATACACTGAAGATCGTATTCTACTTTTTCAGAATATATTCCATGAAACTCACAACCATTTATCATTAGATGTCATGCTAAATGGTTGTGAGAGATGTGATGAAAATGAAAATAAACATATTCTCCTATCTATATCCAATTACATTTTAAGTTCTAGAAGATTCAGGACATTTAACTTCAATTTTGAATGAAATTTTACATTTTATTTATTTACACTTTATTTATTTACATTTTATTTTTTCTCAATGTAATTCTTCTGATTTCCAGAAATGGTACATGAATATTAATATTAATATTTCCTATTTGTCTTCATTGTTTATTTTTAAATATTGTTAGTGAGGGGGGCTGGGGTTCAGAAGACCAGTTATACTATTTTATTAAAAAATATTGGGAAACAACTACATAAATAAGAATATAAAGCTTTACAACATGTTAATTATATATCTAACCTGTGTTTAATATGCATAAATTAAACTATTTGGTGGGATTGAATTTCCAAACTCATCAGTGGATGGCCTTGTGTGATACAATGGACTTTTTGGCCTGTATCTGTTGGGTGCGGTAATTTAATCCCATCAAATGTTTATACATGCAGCTCCATCAACAAATTATTTTTCTTTTCTCTTCATAATATGTATATACCGGTACATATTTTATATGTCTTTTCAATATCAAAATAAAAGGTTAGAATTTAAACCATTAGATTCAATTATAATAAAAATGAGTATTAGTAGTTGTTTCCCCTAATTTGATTATTAATTTGATAATACCAACTTGTTTATATGTGTTTGTATGTGTTCTAATGTCTATGTCTATGCGTGTACCACTGTATGTTACTATGTTTTGGAAAGGGCTTAAATAGGCTATGCATGCTGCCCAATAAAATTGTCCTTTGACAATAGAATTTATTGAAATTGAAAAACGCAATAATATTAACGAACTTGTAAGTCACTCTTTTCCAAGCTTTCGGGCTTAGTCCTTCGTCAGGGATTAAATGTCACTTGACCTCTATGTCACATCCATCTTGACAAACATGTTGAGTAACTATCTACAAGTTCGTTAAACGAAGTAGTTTACGATAACAATATATATATATATATATATACAATTTTCTATATTCTTAGGCGGACGATCTGAAAAAATTGTTTTTATTCTATATTTTCCTTCGCAAGGACTTATTTATTTATTATCTACTTTATATATATATATAGAAAAAATAAGATTAACGACCGACTAAAAAACTAGCTGCTTTCACCCTTCACAGGGCTCTTTAGTTTTGAAATCTGAAGAGCCCTGTGAAGGGTGAAAGCAGCTAGTTTTTTAGTCGGT